AATCGCGATGACACCGATCGACTTTGGAATCGCATCATTCGAATCGAATGTTGTGTGGCAACGCCGCATGTGTAAGGTGTGTTTTAACGTTTCTAATAAAGGTTATTAAAACGAAAAGAAGTAGTAAATAGCAAACTGTAGTAGTAATATTATTCATTATTGTTAATTGTGTCATATTTGTTGCATTCAAACAAAATGAAAGATTCTGGCATCCCAACCAAAGTTGGCAGAACTCTGTAAGCGGTGGAACCTTCGGCATCTTCACCACAGATAGCGCCACTAATTTCTCTTAAGGGAAATGTAATTTCTGTTAAGGGAAATAGCATTTCCGTTAAGGGAAATATCATTTTCGTTAAGGGAATTGTAATTTCCCTTAACGGAAATAGAAGTTTATTTTTGTTTAGTTAAAAATAAAAGTAATTTGAGCTATTTTTTGTACACATGATCATTAAGTCTCATTTTAATTCGATGTTATTTTCTGATTCTCTAAATATTGTTAGACTCTATATATTGCGGTTCTAAATTTTATTCGGGAACAACATTTCAATCAGTATTTTAAATTAAAATGTTTTTAATTTTTATGTCATTTAGGAAAGTATAAAACTATATCTTTAAGGACAAATGCATTTATATTCGTAATAGTAATTTTAATTCGTTTTATTTTAATACTTAGCCTGGTCTAACATAAATAAAATGTAACATTGTATCCAAGTCAGAAGCTACTTTAATAAAATTGAATTAAAATAAAATCCTTTTAATGTGTCATAAAATTGCTCCAAAAAACTAAAACAGTAAAAATAATTTGCATTAAAATTATAATTAGTAAATTTAATAAAATTTCTGTTAACGAAAATTGCTTTCACGTTAAGGACAATATTTAAAAATCCAATGGAAATAAATACAACAAATGCATTATTTTTACTATTTGTAAAGAAAATATGCATTCAATTTTGAAATTATAATAAAAATGTAATTTCCCTTAAGGAAAATACATATAATTTCAATTATCTAATGTCTCATAGAAATCAAGTCGAATTAAAATGAGACTTGATAGCCATGTGTAATAAAAACTAAAATGGCTTGCCATATTGTGGGGAATTTCACGCTCTTCAAAATTGCTTTTGAGTTTTTTTTTTGTAACTCGCATTGGTTCACCAGTAGGAGTCGTCAAAGGACAGTTTTTGAAAAAAATCGTTTTTTTATATTTTTTCGAGCAAATCGTCAAAAGTAGGGAGAAAAAAGGGCTGACTCATAAAAAAACCCAATATTTAATGAATTTACAGCCATTTTTATGACTGAAAACGTAAGAAATTGATAAATACCAACCCATAATGTTATTTAGATTGATTTTTTCTATTTATTATCATTATATTTCCCGTCACTAGGAACTTTTTATAAATTATTATGATTTCTCACTCATAATGAATGTATGAAATTATGTGCTTTTATAAAAGCACATAATTTCATAAAAAAACAACAAAACTTTAATCGAACTGTACAGAAGTTTTTGTTATTATGCAACATATTTCAAATTTCGCTTCAAAAAATTAAATAATCTTTATTTATATTTTTTTGCTATATGACAGAAATGTTGAAAAATTGCAAAATCTACGTTACAATTTTATTCTTGTTGTTTTTTTATTAATTTATCTGTTGTTTTCATATTCATTATGAGAAATCATAATAATTTTAAAAAAGTTCTTAGTGTAGGAAAATATAATGGTAATAAATCAGTTTTAAAAATGGCTGTAAATTCATTAAATATTGGTCGGATAACTTTTTTTTTATGAGTCAGCCCTTTTTTCTCCCTACTTTTGGCGGTTTGTTCGAAAAAATTAAAAAAAAAAACGATATTTTTCAAAAACTGTACTTTGACGACTCCTACGAATGAACCAATGCGAGTTACACAAAAACACTTCAAAGCAATTTTGAAGAGCGTGAAATTCCCCACAAGGTCCATCAAACCGTTTTGCAATATTGTAAAAGGTGGGCAAGCATTAGAAATTTGAAAAGAAATTATATTTTTTACATGCATTTTAAACGGTAAAACTTTAAATTTAAATAGTAAGTACTTAAAATTGATATAAAGAGCTCAAACTTGGTGCGAATTTTTTTCTCTATATGCAGATTAATATTTTGCTTGAGCACCGAAAAAAACAAAAACTTTGCGGAAATGAATCACCCTAATATATATATATATATATATATATATATATATATACCTGAAGATGGTACTTGAGATTGAACCGAAACGTCGTCAGACATACGGTTCTTTTAAGAACCATAAACCGAAAAACCACCAATATATTTATATAGGTTTTCAGATTTCAAAAAAACATGAAAAAAAACTAGAAAAAACTTTTTTTTGTTTTTTTTTGCAAATCCGCTGCAATAAAGCATATTCTGTCAATAAATAACACCAATCTTAAAAAATGGAGTAATTTTTCAAAATGAAATTTTGAGTAAAATGTATATTAATAATAAAGTGATGTAGAATACATTACATTTATCATTATTGAAAATTTTAACTGAGACTAAAAAATCTGATTTCTTATTATTTGGTAGTTTCCACATAAGAAACCATGGTTTAATTAAAGGATAAAAAAAATCCACATTTTTTGCGATTTCTCGGATAGCTGTATCTTCGTTAAAAATGGTCGTATTGGAGCCGTAAAAAAAACAATTTGAAGCTTGAAGTTTCTAGTTTTGACATTTATAGATGAAAAACGTGCAACGCACAATCCTATGGAACGCCGTTTTACTATTTTACATTTATACCAATGTTTCATTTAAATGATAGATGAAAAAGAAAGAAATTCGATAATATAAATGAAATCCATTTCGTTGACCCAAGTATCATTTTAATACTAACTTGAAATTTCTTTCCTATTTTTCTTATATATGCATGCGGTGAAACAATTTCAATGACAATTGTAATAAACTTGTATTTGAATTTAAAGGACACTCAAATTTTTAAGACATGTGAGATATCTAAGGAATCATTTAAAACACAGTTGAATTTTTCTTACACATGAATTTAAATAACATATGCATGCGATGAAACAATTTCTATGACAATTGTAATAAACTTGTATTTGAATTTAAAAGACACTCAAATTTTTAAGACATGTAAGATATCTAAGGAATGATTTAAAACAAAGTTAAATTTTTCTTTTTATTTAGTGTCGGGGGTGCTGATAATGAATTAAGAATATTCTCCAAAAAATTATTTTTGCGTCCCCTAATTTCATCCCCCGAAAGGGGAGTTTTTTTGCTTTTTGGCTCATAACTCGCTAACCGTGCATTTTTTAATTATTTTCAGCTATAATATCCCTAGGACATTGATAATGCACGAGATAATTTTATGACAATCGAAAGCACGTTGCTTGGTAACATCCCGACGCCGAAGGCGGAGGGCTGTTACCAACAAACGTGCTTGAGAAATTTGACATAACATTATGAGGCATTTGTCAATGTCAGAGGGATATTCGGTCAGAAAATTTTTTGATAAAAAAATCAAATAACACGCAACCCAACGATTATTTACTTATTAAAAGTACATATTATTTGGTTTATTTCAGACAAACTTAATAAAACTGAACTGGTCTTATGTTTACATGAATATGCTTGCAGTTTCTTTCTGGTTGCATCGCGGCCATCTTGGGCAGGTTTATGTAAATACTATGCTGTTACACAGGCCAATCATTAGCATATATTCATTATAGTATTTCTGTTGCAAAAGTTTACACGTAACTTTCCACATGGTCTTAACAGTGGCTTCTTTAAATTCGGTCCCATCTTTCTTTCTCATATTGACCGCCCAATCTTTTAATATTAATGCCAGTTCTTCTTCGCTTCTATTCTCGTTTAAATAATATTTGCGTTTAAAGCAAAACTCCATAAATATCCCCCACGTATATTTATGACAACTTGTAGTATTTTTGGGAATGTTTTCTTTAATAAGCGCGTTTATATATTCAAATTTCCAAAACGTGACATATTGAAATTTATTTTATGAAATTGGCAGTCTTGGTGTCATATTGTCATAGTGATTGAAAACTTCCCTGAGTGTTGTTTTCAGTTAAATGTTGAAATGATTGGGTGGTTTGTGTCACATGACGAAAAATAATATAATTTAAATAACTGTTTGAACTGTCAAAAAATTTTCACTAGTAATACCACTAGAGGTCAAATTATTTCCGGAAATTTTTTCGAGCTCATGAATATTTTGAAAATATTTTCTAAAAATATTCATGAGGGAGAAAAAATTTCCGGATTTAATTTGACCTCGTGTGGTATTCGGTAAGAAAATTCCACACCAAATTGTGTTTAAATAATTAAAATTTATTTTTTGATTTAACTTGACCTCGACTTGATTATTTAGTTACCATGGCAACTAAGTCAACCCCAACCTAAAAGTTATTTCAGTTTTGAAGCTGTCAAGCGGCACGACGTAAAAAAATGTGAAATCGTCTGCTGTAATGATCAATCATCGTGCAATGACTTATTTACCCGCATTATTAGAGGATTGTGGCTCCTACTTGAAGAAAATTTGTTTTGAATTGTTCACGAATATTTGCATCTTAACTATTCAAAACTCAAAGTGCTAAATGGAAAAAAAGGTGAATAGAATAGTGTCTAAATATTATATATATTTCATTAGACATAGACATTTAATTTATTTCAAGTCCTGCATTTTCGCCATTAAGAAGAAAGGAGGTGTCCAACGAATATAGAAAACATCTAAACTTTGTAATGGAAATGTATCAAAATTATCATGTAAACAAATAAAAACCAGATTGTCAAAAAAATATTCTGTCATTATAAACGTCAAAAAATTTCCAGTATAATTCGCTGTTGGGTACCCACGAGGAAAAAATTTCCACTAAAATTCAACCGTTGCCATGGTGATCTATCAAAAATACACGTTTTGATTGGTTAAAAATTACAGGTGTGGAATTTTCACTTATAATACCACAAGAGCTTCAAAATTATCGGGTATTTCCCGATAGGTTCGTTGCAAACAAATGAAGGAGTCAAGTTTTTCAGGTTAAAAAATCACGAGCGCGAAGCGCGAGTGATTTTTCCTGAAAAACTTGACGACTTTATTTGTTTGCAGGGAACCTTGAGGGAAATGCCAGATAATTTTGAAGCTCGTGTGGTATTCGGGGGATTATTTTTTTTGACAGTTCTCTGTATCTGTATGCTGCCCTCACCACCTCTCCAAGCCAATTCCACTGATATTATCATGAATAATTTTTTCTGGAGGCCATCAGGAGTTTCCTCGTCCCAAACAGTGGTCATTGCATCCCAATCTTTTTCCTCCAACGCTGCTGCACTTGCCCTCCGTTTTTCCGGAATAGATTGTAAAGCCTTACGCTTGGCATCACGAGCTCCTCGAGCGGTCTTGAATGCAGCATCCGAAAATGGGTTGATTTTGATGTCGAAATCGTTCAAATACTTTTCTTGAAGTAATTTGGCAGTCTGATTCCACATTGTTTTTATTGTACCTTCCTTATAGTCTTCTCCATCCATTTTCTTCATATTGTAAGCGTAATCTTTCATAATGTTTGCCAATTGCGCTTCACTCGTTTCAGCACTCAATGTGTATTCCCTCTCAGTACAAAAAGTAGTAAATTGGTTCCAAACTGTTTTTTTTGACTTCTCCGTATTAATGGGAACATTTCCTTTGACTTTTTTTATCGATGGTGGACAGAGAACAAACTCCAGATCGACTCATTTTCATGCAAAATCTCCAATTTTCACAATTGAATTCAACCTGTCAGTTTGACGTGTGGTTAATTTGACTTTTTTATATACCTATAGCAACTACCAGAGAAAATTTTCAAAAAATTATCGCTGTAATTCGCTGTAGGTTCCCTCAACAACAATGCCTCAACAATGTCCCAACAATACAGAGAACTGTCAAAAAAATAATCATTGCAAGTGCCCCACAAAAATTAAAGTTTTGAAAAAAGAACCCCCTGTACATTGAAAAGCAATAACTTTTAAAAAAAGTCTACTACCTCAAAACATCGTCCATTCGGTTATGTTTGATTACCGTAAGGTTTGGGATCGATTACTTTTAAAATTGGGATATAATAAAAATATAGCAAAAGGGCACATCATATAGGTGGGCAATGGGGTTTAACGTTTGTCTTATTTAGTACATAATCCAAAGTATTGGAGGTCAAATTCTGAAAAAATGCACGATTAGCGAGTTATGAGCCAAAAAGCAAAAAAACTCCCCTTTCGGGGGATGAAATTAGGGGACGCGGAAAGAAATTTTTGGGGAATATTCAACCCCTGACTACATAAAAAAATAAAACCCTGCTACCATCGAGTTTTCCTTATACAATCTTTGTTTCCTGTACTATTTCATATTTAAAAAAAAATCATATTTCCTAAAAAAGTAAAAATAACAGAATAGCACTAACTGGACATAATTAACGAAGATATAGAATTTATTTTCTGAAAATATCACATTTTTATTTTTTCCTCCACATCGGTTTTTTTGTGGGTCAAAGTTAAATATTTTTAAAAATGATCAATTTTTATAATTATTTTTTATTAGAATCTAGGAAAATGAAAATTATGTCATGGCATTAAAAGGGTTAATACTTTAATTCTAAAAAAAATTAATTCCTAATATGCAACTGGGTTGACACAGGGTTCAATTAAAAATCTTAAAAATGAGAACAAATTGTAGAAATTTCAGATGGTCGCCATTTTGATTTTAATTGTTCAGTTTAGTTTTATTTTATAATATGAAATGCACATTTACTACCCTAAAAAACAAAGCATAAATCATTTCAATACCTATTTTAAATAAAAATCTAGAGCCAATTATGTACAAGAAGTTCCACGATAAAAAAAATTAATAATGGTGCATTTTTGGTGGTTTAGCATTTCTGGTACCTCAAAGATTATCCTCAATTTTTTTTAATTAAAAATCATGCGGCACACACTATTTGCACCATGGTGATTTTATATGGAATGATTCATAAGTAAACGTGTAGACAGTTATTTTAATTTAAAATGCTACTTTGATGCTTTTGATGCACTCTGGAAAGGAAGTCGATATTGCATCATAAATTAGCGCTCAGCACCAATGTTTTCTAATACAACAAGAATTTTTCTTGTTTTTAGCTTAGCGTTTACCGTATCTTATCTGGTCCACTTGACAATGTATTTTCACTAAGAATATTTGGCAGAAGAAAGTATACGGTATAAGCTGTTGCGGAGCGGCTTCCAAACTGGTTACCGTGTTCTGCTCTCTGTACGTACAAGCCTATACACTTTTAAGTAGTTATATGCTAAAAATGTCAAACTTCAAGACGCAGAGGTTAAATTGGCGTAGCAAACCTAGTATATAAACAGACTTTTTCATTTATAAACTTACCCTTCTTTTGCTTTTAATGTTCTCCTTTTGACGCTGACTACACTCGCCAATACTCTGGGAACCCCAAAGTTCAACTCCTATTTTGGTATAGGTGTAAGTCAGGGATAAAATGGGAACCAAATAGGTGATGATAAAGAATACCACATTGAATCTAAAATAAACAAATAAATACCATTACTTGATAGAATTAAATATTCCAGCATACACAATTAATTTCAATGAATGGTTTCGGATAATTAAATAAGTTGTAACCCCAATATTCTTCTTCTTATTCTTCTTCTTTGATCTGAAAAACGTCTCCGTCTTCAAGGGTGGATAGTATTTAGCCTAGTTAAAAGCTATTTCGCCAGCTCATTAACCCCAATATTGCAATACGAAAACATTTAGAATTTTACTTCATGCCATATTATGTCTTAATTCTGTTAAATTTATATGAAGGTATTATTTCTACTAATATAAATGAATCGGTGAGAATAAAAACAGTACAAGTCCAAAAATATAATTTTGACAATTCATTTTTTAAAACCAATTTTAAAGTTCAAACTTCATTTTTGTGAGAATATTTTATAAAATATAATATTCATATTCTCTAAAATATCTTCTTACCTATAATATCCCTAGGACATTGATAATGCACGAAATAATTTTATGACAATTGAAAGCACGTTGCTTGGTAACAGCCCGACGCCGAAGGCGGAGGGGTGTTACCAAAACACGTGCTTGAGAAATTTGACATAAAATTATGAGGCATTTGTCAATGTCAGAGGAATATTCGGTCAGAAAATTTTTTGATAAAAAAAATCAAATAACTCGCAACACAACAATTATTTATTTATTAAAAGTACAGCTGGTAAAGGTACAGTTATTAAAATTTAACGCAACATTAGATTGGCTATTTTTTTCTACAATAGAAGATCTATTACCACGCATAGTATTTATAATCTTATTGTGGTGTTCTTGGTCGATGTTTAGGTATGGTTTTATAGAATTTGGATTGCTATGGCCAGTAATTTTCAGCAATTGTTGTTCTTGCACACCATTTTTTGCCAATTCGCTAACAGCAGTTGACCTGTTCGAATGGTTTGTTATTTTTCTTTCTTTTACATTTAGACCAATAGCCTCTGCAGACGATTTAGTCCTTAGTCATTGTCGTACCAATTATCGGTTTCCGTTTTCCAGTGTCGATTTGGTTTTAAGAACAGCCGTGGTGAGGTTATATGTTCGCCTCGTTTTGATATCAGTTTATGAAAAAGGCGTACAGGGCAGCTTTGACTTTCACCATTGGCAATCAACCATTTACTATTTGTACAGCTTTTTGAACCGCCTTGGCAAGTTTTACTAAACACCGGATTATATTCAATGCGATTTGTTGGAAAGCCATCGTTATTTTTCTCGATTTAAAAAAAAGACAAGAGACAAGCAACTGCCTCGCCTCCCCTCCACGCTAATTCTACAGCAGCAATGTGATAGAATTTACGCATAAGACCTCCCAGAACAATATTATTTAGTTTATTTCAGAAAAGCTTAATGAAACTGAACTGGTCTTTCGTTTACATGGATCTGCTTGCAGTTTCTTTCTGGTTGCATCGCGGGCATCTCTTGCAGGTTTAAATACAATGCTGTTAAACGGGTCAATCATTAACTTATATTCATTGTAGTATTTCTGTTGCAAAAGTTTGCTTGAAACGTTCCACATGGTCTTAACAGTGGCTTCTTTAAATTCAGTCCCATCTTTCTTCCTCATATTGACTGCCCAATCTTTCAATATTAATGCCAGTTCTTCGGTTCTATTCTCGTTTAACTGATATTTGCGTTCAAAGCAAAACTCCATGAATATCCCCCACGTATATTTATGACTATTTGTGGTATTTTTCGGAATGTAATCTTTAATAAGCGCGTTTATAGCTTTAAAATTCGAATTGCCGAAACGTGACATATTGAAATTTATTTTATGAAGTTGAAAACTTCCCTGAGTGTTGTTATCAGTTAAATGTTGAAATGATTGGGTGATTTGTGTCATAGGTATGACGAAAAATAAAATAATTTTAAACTGTCAAAAAAATTTCACAAAAATATATCTTGAACTTTAAAATTTATTTTAAAAAATGACTTTGGACTTGTACTGTTCTTATTCTCACCGATTCAATTAAAATACTTGGGAAAAAAAATACAAAACGTCTTATTATAATTATTATTACAATACTTACATGTATTCCATCATTGATAAGTTAGTGACACCGTCCGGCCATTCTGGGTAGCAGATAACTCTGGCCTCGCCATCGGGGTACGGTAGGGTGTAAGTCTTGTAGTAAATAAGTGACGGTATGCCGAGGATGACGCCCATGATCCAAGTACACATTGCTAATATCAGGGTGACGGTGCGACCCATTCGCGGACGTAGTGGCGTCATTATTACCATGTATCTATAAACAAAAATATGATTTGACAAATTAAGCGATAACCCAGCATAACATCAGCTTTAAAGCATAGTCCATATAAACTTTTCTTCTTATTTTTTCTCTTCTAAATCCTATACACAGTTGTCCTGAACGAGTCATAGGTCACCAGTGGCGGCCCGTGACATTTTATTTTGGTGAGGCAGAGGCAGGGTTTCACCCTCATTTAAAGGCGAAGAAATTTTTTTAAACCCCTTAAAAAAACTGACGTCGTAGTTCACAACCTATACTTAAAACTAAGTAAAAAAGAAAGGAATCCTCTACTTTGTCAATGAAATATATTTTATTGTAAAAATGACGTTTATTTTAAATAAACCTCATTTTTGTCTAATTAATATTTCATTGTTCAGCAAGAACCACGTGAAGTTCAACATTATCGGTACAATTTCTCACCGTAATATTCTAAATGACTAAATTCACATAAATCACCAATGAACTAAACCCACAGAATAAACCACTTACAAAAGAATCATAAAATAGACAAACTCATAGAAAAAGAATAAACAAAATATTGCGTAAATAACCACAGATTTGTTCAGAATTTTATAACCAAAACAAACCTAAATAAGGAATCTGTATTTATTTTATTGGTTACTGTGATGGCTACAAGATGTCGATAGTGTAAAAATATGTTTATTTTAGAATAGAAATATAATTTCGATTAAATCGATTTATTATAAGAAAAATAATACCATTTATTATTGAATTTTGAAAAACGTAAGTATAATTTATCTAAAATTCCGCAGCAGTGTTGCCACAACACCTGCTTATTTCCTTGTATGTAGTCGTGACTGCCTCGCGTATGCTAATACGAGAGAAGGAGACAACTATGATATCGCATTGTAATAGAAAGAGACAACAAGGCTGACGCCAATCGTGAGTCTAAATTAGTTCAGGCATGCTTCTGAGCCAATCATCTAGCTATAAATATTAGTTTAAATTGCGGTCGTTTCAAATTCAAATAATTTAAATGTTGCTGGGTATTCCACGTATAAAATCAATCAATATTTCATAATCCATGTAATCCAAATATTAAAAATTTATAGTATATTATAGAAAGTAAAATATTTAAATTATACTTAATTTTTTAATTCTCTATGATGAGGCACTGCCTCACCTGCCTCCCCTGACAGGCCGCCACTGTAGGTCACATAAAAATGACTCCAAAAACTGACTGTAGTATTGAAATAAGGATGTCCTCTGAAGTTTAAAAATATGTTTTTCAAAATTGTAGCTGTTCCTTTTTAGAAGTTTTGCTTACTAATCCAAATTTCAAACGTCATTTGGTGATTCATTTTAGTTTTTTGCTATTATCTTTAAAACAGAGGCCTTTATAATAAATGTTTGAATAGGGAAATAAAGGTTACTTAATTATCTATTAAATCATGCCTCCATAATTATGCCTAAACTATTTGCCTGCGAAATCCATGGACGTAGTCGTAAATTTTATATGTTTAACTGGGTATGTTACATTTTTTGTTATTACCCTGTCATAGGTTACTTTCAACATTGCAGCATCATTTTTCTTTAAAGAAATATAACCCATATAAACAAAACAAGACAAGTAAGTACTTAATAATTGTCAAATATTATTTATTAATCAAAGTAATGTTATCAACATGAGAAAAAGAATTAAAAATTTTTTAATGAAGACCCTACTACTGCTCTTTTTAACGACTCTTTGGAGTTAGGATGTGCCATGTTGTTTATCTTGTATTTATTCCAAAAAATTTATCAACTCGCGGTGGACATTCCAAGTGATTAATTAGTACATGAATTTTTAAAGTTTGAGATATATCAAGAGCTAATGTTTGTATGTAAATTTTTATTAAGTCAAAATTTGGCGTTTTGGTTGAAAAAAAATTCTCAACTAATTTATCCATATATGGACTAAGGTCTTAAATTGGGACACGTATGGTAAAATGACCAAAGGACTAACAGTTTGCAAAAAATATTTTGCTAAAATAGTGTCAGGATGTTTCAGAAGCATTTAACATGCATTTTCCTCAAATATATCACCTTGGTAGTTCTTAGAACACCCATACCCCTCCATAAACCACCGTCACCAACCAACTGGGGATGAGCACCACACGTCAAAATTAAAAGCTGCCGGCCCTGTCTACGCCAATGGTTGCGGTTGTTGAAGCATCATAATTTTGTCGTCTTTACCTAATTCTTTATTTTAAAATTGTTCCTATCAAAAATCTTAAATAAGTCACTAAGTTGGTATTTGAATTAACTTCCAAAACTATGTGACCTATGACTTATTCAGGACCCCTTTGTAAAGTTTGAAATTTCAACAGTTAGAAAAAGCGTTAGAAAGTTATTTAAAATATTATTTTATAAAGTTACCCATTTAGGGTTGACGATGATGACATATAAGAAACGTTACATTTTACTAGGCTGGGTAATAAACAAAACCACATAAACGGTTTCGAGAAATTATTCTGTCTCAGGGCCAAAAAGACCAAGGCCGTTTCTGAATATAGGTCTTTTGTAAAAGGTAATAAACCATCGTTTTCACAACATCGGGTTTAAATAATTGGGCAAAATTTAAACAGGAAAAAGTACCTATAGGTAAATTCACAATGTATACATTGTGAATTATGCAATAAGCATACGGCCTTAAAATAAAAGCATAATTGGTATGTAAAAGTTTAACACGAATGGATTTAAACCATTTCATTCCGTCTAACTGAATATATAGTTCTTATTTAGATAAATAAAAGTCAATATTATTTTTACGGTCATATGAAAAAAGTTACGTGAAGGGGCGAAAATAAACTGTATCAATTTAAAAGAAAAAGTATAAACTTTAATTACTTGTATTTCATTAAGGAATATTTCAAAAGATTATAGGAAGTGTTTCTAATAAAAACAAAATATTTATGATAATGAAATAATATTAGGTACGTACCTGTCAATCGAAATGGACATCAATGAAAATACCGATGCCGAAACTGAGAGAACAGCAATAAATTGTGAAATCTTGCAGTAAAGTTCTCCGAATGGCCAGTGTGAGTTGAGCATGTAGATGTAATTAAAAATTACATTTAAAGTCGAGACCATAGCATCAGCCACTGACAAATTAACTGTAAAATAACAGTATTTATTTAAACCATTTTTAATTCACAAGAATGTGCCTTATTTTTTACATAAAACATAAGCTGTGACTTTAAGCCACAGAACATAAGCTGTGAATTTATGGCTTTTTAGTCACGGGCTAAATTTAGAAACAGTAAAAGCCACAAATAAAATTGGCTTTAAATTCTGTTTTGTGTTCGTCGTAGATAAAGTATAGTATTTATAAACTTCTTTAGACAGTCGTTTTTATTAAACACTCCCTCGAAAGGTTTGCTCGAGCTTAATTAAACTCGTAACAAAAATTAAGTATATAAAACTTGATACATAATATAGTATTTTAGATGCAAAATATATTTTAAAACAATATAAACATAAAAATTCTAAAGTAAAACAATTAGATATTTATTTTATACTAACTTATGTTGGTAATAATATGTAAAAACTAAATAAAGATATTATGTCGTAAGTTATGAACGCATCCTAAGCTAGTAAATTGTATAGTCTGCAGATCTCTGAGAGTCTTGTATAATTTCTTGGAAAGCTCATGTTAGATAAAATTAAGTTATAAATATATGTAAAACACAATAATGTAACATTCTGATTCTTGCTTCTGTATAATAAATATCATCTTATGTTTTAAGTTGAAAATAAAGTTTTTAAAAACAGACTTTTTAATTTGAAAAACTTAAGTGGCGCAGTCGTAACGGATAAGTGTAGTTTTTTCCAAAATCGTACCGATTGTAACGTGTTTTTGGACTAATCGTGAGTTTCAACTCTTTGACACTTGAACCATCTTCCCGGCCTTTCTCCAAGTGTTTGGTACACCGCAGAGGAATGCCGACGACAACATCTATTCCTGGCCTTTCTCCAAGTGTTTGGTACACCGTAGAGGACCGCCTTCAATAGACCAGGCCTTTCTCAAAGACATTGAGGACCGCCGAAAACCATTTGTGCAGACCCAAAGACAGGATCACCGAAGGAGTTTCTACGTAAGTCCAAGTTCCTTCACCTCCTACTTTTCTCCGTATAAGAAATTTAGGTTATTTTTAAGTTATTTTTAGGAATCAAATTTAAAGATTAAACCATATAAAATTTTATAAAATATAAATTCTAATTTATTTTAAGTCTATGACAGACAACGAATTAGACGATTTAAGTAATTTATTTTTAAATTCATTAAGAGTAAACGATACAAACGAAACAATGACTACCCGAACAGTAGATTCAGTTAGCTTAAATATGCTTAAAATGTTTGTCGACACTATCCCTCGTTTTGATGGTGATGTCAACAATTTAAATAATTTTATTTCTGCCGGACAATTTTTGTTCGACACATACGGCCATACCGAAGACGCCAATTTAAAAAAATATTTAATTCGCGCAATCCAAACTAAATTAATTGATAGAGCACAAATTTTAGTTGGCTCCCGTTCCGAACTTAATACTTGGAAAGACATTAAAAACGCTTTACAAACTTGTTTTGGTGACAATCGTAATATAGAATGCTTAGAACAGGACTTGTTTATGGCAAGACCCTTTAAAAATGAATCCCTCCTTGACTTTGGTAAAAGATTACAAGTTTTACGAAGTAATCTCGCTTAAAAAATTAGTTTACAAAATATTGACGCAGCTTCAAAGAAAATTTATATAGAAAATTATGACAAACTCACTTTAAGAACATATATTCGTGGGCTATCACCCCAAATTCAATGTATTATTAGACTTAAAAACCCCACTTCTCTAGAAGAAGCTTTAACATACATAACTGAGGAAGAAAACTTCCAATATACTCAAAATCTATTTAAAGCCCCTCCGACACATAACGTAAGACCGACATTTTCTCATAACCCACAACATAAACAAAATAATC